GACCGCCCGCATGCGCCATCCACCACCCAGTACAGGGTTTCGTGTCCCCACAGGGAGCACCACCGAAGGTCTCCGTGGCGGAACTTGCATGGCGGCCTAGTGGCGAAGCCCGCATGGCGGCGACTTTCGATGTCCGGAAGTTTTTCATCGTATTCGACGTATTGAGGCAGCTTTCGGGCCGCGCATACCGGGCGGGAGCCAGCCTGCTCGCTCTCTGCTCCGCGCAGCGGAGGACCCGCGCGCGTCGCCGGGACCCCTTCGGGGCGACCAACGCGCGTCGCGCGGAGTCCGTGCGGCGCTGACTGGGGAGCGCGGGCGAAGATGATACTCATAGTTGCGGTATTCACAGCTGCATGTGTTTGGGTCTTTCGCCTGACTATGTATTGTTGTGTTGCGGGCGCCTTCCCGAACCTGAACCCGAAACCGAACACATTACCCCTTAGAATTCATTCAAATGTGATAGCGCAGACCACGGGCAGCCCTAGTAGTAGTAGTCCACGTAGTGATAGCAGTGGAAATAGTAGTGCTAGTACCGCTAGTAGTAGTAGTAGTAGTAGTAGTTGTTGTTGTTGTTGTAGTAGTAATAGTAGTAGTAGTAGTACTACTACTACTAGTAGTAGTAGTAGTAGTGGTAATAGTACTAGTAGCCGCAGTAGTAGTAGTAGTAGTAGTAGTAGTAGTAGTAGTAGTAGTAGTAGTAAGCGTGCACAAATGCTGGTAGTCGCCGCAGTGATAGAAATAGTAGACAGACTGGTAGAAGAACGCGTAGTAGTACTACGTGTAGTAGCAGTAGTAGTAGTCGTAATAAAGGTAGTCGTTGTAATATTAGTAGTTTAGTAGTCGTAGTGAAATGAATAGTAGTAGGTAGTAGTAGTAGTAGTAGTAGTAGTAGTAGTAGTAGTAGTAGTAGTAATAGTAGTAGAAGTAGTAGTAGTAGTAGTAGAAGTAGTAGTAGTAGTAGTAATAGTAGTAAGAGTACTAGTACTAGTAGTAGTAGTAGTTGTAGTAGTAGTAGTAGTAGTAGTAGTGATAGTGGTGATAGTAGCAATAGTATCACGCGAAATAGGAGTAGTAATGGGAATCGTATTAGTAGTAGTCGTAGTAGTAGTAGTGGTAGCAGTAGTAGTAGTAGTAATAGTAGTAGTAGTGGCGGTACAAATAGAAGAAGAAGAAGAAGCGGAATAAGCAGAAGAAGTAGTAGAAACAGTAGTAGAAAGAGGAGTAATAGTAATAGAACTATTACTAATAATAGTCGCAATGATAGTTGTAGTAATACTAGTAGTCGTAGTGGTGATAGTGGCAATAGAAAGATTCGTAGTGGTAGCGCGAGCAGTGGTAGTAGCAAAAATCCGAGTAGAAATAGAAGTAGGAGTAGTAGCAGTAGTCGTAGTAGTAGTCTATAAATAAAACCAGCAGTAGATATACGCGTACTAATAGTAAAATTAATATAGAGGGAGACGCGGCAGTAGTAGTAGCAGCAGTAGTAGTAGTTGTATTAGTAACAGTAGTGGTAATAGTAGTCGTAGTAGTAGCAGTAGTAGTAGTAATAGTAGTAGTAGTAGTAGTAGTAGTAGTAGTAGTAGTAGAAGTAGTAGTAGTAGTAGTAGTAGTAGTAGTAGTAGTAGTAGTAGCCAACGCCCTCGTAGAAGCAGACGTTGTAAATATAATCGGGCTTGATGTCGTTGCGCGTAGGTGTAACTGCATGTGCAATTATATAAACCGTCGTTCCCCCACACAGGCGGCGATGATCAAATCCGTATAGGCACAAACTCAATGAAAGAAGCAAGCGAGACAGCAGATGAAGAAACAATGTTCATGCAGATTACATCGAACACACGGACGCGCGCAAAGAGAACAATAACGGCTGGCGCATAAGAACATCCGCTTGAACGCACACCTTCTAACGCAGTCAGCTCTTTTTTGACTCTCGACGAACTGACAAAGACACCAGCCCGGTTTTAATAGTGTAATGTACCCCTGGTTTGTCAAATGAAAATCAGAGTCAACATCTTCGACCAAGCTACACCGCACTGCCCACCTCCACAAATTACCACTCATGCCGAGCGATTCCTCGATGCGTTCTTTGCAGCCCGCGTCTTCAGAGCTCTCGACCCCTTCCGTTGGGGCCAACATTCGCCCCTGGACAAATGTTCGATAGCCCCAGGAGCCGGAAACGGCATCCAGATGCCGAAATTGATGAAAAACACCCAGGTTGCAGAACAACTTCCTAACGAACTACCCAACACTTGGCAGTTTCATTCAAAGTTGCTGCTGAACCTCGTTTTGAGGGCTGCCGCAAGGGCGCGATGCCCGCGCGGGGCGCGCAGGAAGGGGAGGCGGCACGCGTGAGGGCGTAAAGGCCCCCTGTTGGGGCACGATCCGCGTGAGGGGACGGCCGAGATGGGCACTGGCGCCGCCATGAAAACGCGCCCAGTGAGGCCGTAAGTGGGCCCCCCTGATGGCCGCGATCCTCGTAACGGTTGTGCAGCAATTGGGGCGGGCACGCCCTGCGGACCCTGCCACCAGGGCCGAAGGAGAAACACCCTGCAGTGGGCGCGCGCATCAAGAAAACAATATACTTTCCGTTGGGGTGCCCTGGACTTCTTCGCTCCGCGCGCTGCGCGGTGACTTCCCGAGGCCGTCAAAGGAGCTGCTGCGTTCTGGGTGCTCAGTGTTTCCCTCAGGTGCACCTCGTGCGCGGGATTTCAGGGTGGTGTTGCTTGCGAGGGTTTCTTGCGACCGCGCCCGCACTGCATGGGATCACTAACGGGGCCAGGGACACACTAATAAATAGACACAAAAGACAGGATCCCCCATATTTTCCCATATGTTCTGGGTTTTTGTCTTCCCCCTCACTTCCTATATCTTCCCATATTTCTTGAGAATCGACGATGAATTCTGTCTGTATGCTTTTTCCCCTCCTGGATCACGATCCCCTTGAACGGCGTGCCGACATGGGCGCGGGAGCACGCCATGCGTCTGCGCCCACCTGAGCCTGTGGGCGGAGCTCCCTGTGGGCCCCAAGCCTCGTGACGCGTCTGCGCCGGGACCCGTGGGGCGACGAGCCTCGCGAGGGGCGCGCCGAACCCAGACAGGCGCGCTCCACTACTCGCAAAGTAACTGCTCGCAAATGGCCTGGATTCGCCGCGGGAGATTTACGAGCGATTGCATGCAGGAAGGCACGTTCTTTTCTGACCTTTTGCGAGTAGGCACCCTGCAAATAGTGGAACGCGCTCGGCGAGAATCGGGGGCGGGTGCGCCGCGCGAAACCTGGCGGCTGGGGCCTTCGGTGGAGCTCCATATGGGGGCCACAACACGTGTGAGGGGTGTGCCGAGTCGGGGGCGGAGGCGACATGCGAACCCCTGTAACTGGGGTCTTCGGTGGGGCCACGAGCCTCGTGCGAGAGCGAGTGCGCCATGCGAGCCATGCCACTGGGGCCTTCGGTGGAGCTCCCTGCGGGGCCAAGAGACGCGTGAGCCGTGTGCCGAATTAGTCATACGGAGGACACAGGTCGCGCGAGGAGGGGGCAGCAGGAGGTGAGACGCGTGGCGCTGCGTATCCCAAACGAGGGCACAACAACACAGGAGGGTTGGGACCAATCCTTCGGATTTACAAGCAACTCTTCTCGTCTGCCATGCGAACGAGTGGCCCCAGGCCAAAGTGACCTTTGGTGCGCGGCTCGCCGATGGTCGCATGCGATGCGGTCTGCGTGCTGGGAAAACAAAAAACCTAAGCACAACCTATTGTCGCTCCGCGCGGATTTCTTGAAGCTGCGATGGGCCCCCCCTCCCTGGCGCGCGGGGCGCGCCAGGGGCGGCGCTGGAGGCGCCGCCCGGGGGGGCCCAGCGCGGATCCAAGAAACCCGCGCGGACCTCAGAAGTGTTTTACGTTTACATATGTTATTGTTCGTCCCCCTATGCGTACTTTGGTCTGGCCACCCAGCGCACCAAAGGCCACCTCAGCGAAGGAGTGCTCCCACACGTGGCCGATCCCGTCTGGGGCCCGGCCACCTCGGCCGACCCGGCGCGGTTGGCGTCGCGCGCCGGCGGTGCCGCTGCCGCCGCGGCCTGGCCGAGCAGCGCCTCTTCGGCGGGAAGAGAAGAGAGAGAGAGAGAGAGAGAGGGAGGGAGACATCGGCTCACTCCTCCTCCTCCTCCTCCTCCTCCTCCACCTCCTCCTCCTCCTCCTCCTCCTCCTCCTCATTCCTCTTCCTCCTCCTCCTCCTCCTCCTCCTCCTCCTCCTCCTCCTTTTCCTCCTGAGGGAGACAGGTACACAGAGGGAGAGAGAGACAGACAGAGAGACAGAGAGACAGAGAGAGAGAGAGAAAGCGAGAGAGAGAGAGGGGGAGAGATTGAAAGAGAGAGAGAGAGAGACAAAAAAAGAAAGAGAGAGAGAGAGAGATAAAAAAAGAGAGAGAGGGAGAGACGGGAAGAGAGAGAGAGAGAGAGAGAGAGAGAGAAAGAGTGAGAGGTCAGACAAGTGAACGGGAGTCCCATCGACAGACGGCTACTGCCGTGGCCGAGGCCGCCATCGCACTCTTGGCGGTGGTGCACACCTTGGGGAACAGGGGATGCTGAAGCAAACACCCCCCGGCACTAAGCGACTGAGGTAAAGGGACGGGGTGGTGAGCAGGCGATACGCCACGCCTCTCTGCGCTCCGCGTGAGAGAGAGAGAGAGAGAGAGAGAGAGCGAGAACACAACAAAAGCAGGGGGCAAGACGAGAAGGAAACGAAGGCAGGAGGATGGGGGCGAGCAGGGGAGCTCCGACGGGGCTCGAGACGCCTCGGAGAAGCTCCGCTCGCGAGCTCCGAGGAAGCAGGGCTTCTCGAGCCTCAGAGAAGCCCGCTCGAGAGCTCCGAGGAAGCAGGAGCGAGGGCGTGAGCTCGAGAAGCCCGCGCGGGCCGGGGCGAGCCGCCCCCGGCTGGCAGCACGCGGCGCGGCGCTGGGCGGGCGGGCGCTCGCTGCGGAGGGGGCCAGATGAAGGGGCGGCCTGTTTTCCGCCGAGCCCGGGAGGCGCGGCCCGCCTGGGTGGGCCAATCATCCACCACCGCAACCACAGGTAGTAGGACGGGGAGGTCCTCCTCCTCCTCCTCCTCCTCCTCCTCCCCTCCTCCTCCTCCTCCTCCTCCTCCCTCCTCCTCCTCCTCCTCCTCCTCCCTCCTCCTCCTCCTCCTCGTCCTCCTCCTCCTCCGCCTCCTCCTCCTCCTACCTATCCAACCTATGGTGGTGGTGGTGGAAAATCAGCCCACCACGCCTACGTCTCGGGACCGACGCTCGGCGGCACGGCCGCCAGCAGCTCGCACACCGCGGCGGCGCTTCCCGCCTGGCGCCCAGGGGGGGGGGGACAGGAGCCGGCCGCACGCAGAAGGTAGCGCGCCCACCGCCCGGGAGAAATGGGTACCCCGAGATCCTGGCGACTCAATCTTTTCGAGCCGGGCGTTTTCGCTCCCTTTCGGGCCCCGGGACCCTCACAGATCGATCCGGCTCGAAAAATGATGCAGGCTGATGGGGTCGGGGGGTCGGGTCCGAAAGTTTGGCGATGCTGCATTTCTTCCAACGTCGGATCCCAAGGTACTGAGCTTCGTTAATCTGGCCCGTATCTCCACGGGCGTGGCCTGGGCCCCACTGGCTGATTTTCCCCCCTAGATGGGGATGCGGGCCGTTTCCTTCGAGTTTCTAAGTCTATCCCCCACTAGGGTGCTGAGATGGGGGGGTCTGGATGGGCATGGGGATGGGGATAGGTGTTGGTTTGATGCTGAGGTACGGCTGGCTGGTTCGCGTCGCGATGTCGCGATAATTAGTTTCTGACGCCGAGCGGATCGTTCAACCTTGACCGATCGCGGCTCACCGCTGGCGCAGATCGCTCGACCTCGGCCGATTCAAGCCACTGGCAGCGTTCCACCTTGAACGCCCTTGCTGGGGTCGCCGCCGCGTCTACGCGGCGCAAACATACCGTAGAGACATGAAGTGGGAAGGTGTTGGAACGAGAGTGGCTTACCGCCCGCCCTTGAGAAAGAAAGGGGGAGGGAAAAGGGGTCGACGTTGGATTCCCAACCATCCTGTGGTGTTGGGTCCTCGTTTTGGAGAGACAGTGCTCAGCGTCTCACTCACTCACTTACTCGCTCGCTCCTCCTCCCTCATCCCTCCTTCAATACCTGACCCACCTGAGGACCCTCCGCCAGGGCCCGCATGCCAGGTCCACACCATGGGGAGCTCCACCTGAAGCCCCAGCGGCTGGACCCACATGCCTGTTCCACACCATTGCGGCACACCGCTCACACGCGCCGTGGCCCCACAGGGAGCTCCACCTGAGGCCCAGTGGCCCACGCCTGCCCACAGGAGGCCCCAGCGCCAGGGCCGGCATGCCTGGTCCACACCATCTTGGCACACCCCTCACGAGGATCGTGGCTCAATCGGGAGCTTCACTGGAGGCCCTGGTGGCTGGGCCCGCGTGCCTGGCCCACCCCATTCACGACCCCGTATGGGAGGGGGGGCTTCACCGAAGACGATACCCACAACTACGGTACTCATCACTGCATGTGGTGGTGTTTTGTTCGCAGGCTGTGCTTCTGCGCACCACGTAGTATCACAACGACTCTAGCGCAACTCAGCCAGCATCAAAGCCGTGCGGAGCGTGGCCCGGGGAAGAGATCGCAGCCACACACGCACAACCTCATGCCGCCGCAACGAGATTCCGTCGAGGCTGGAAGACATGCGAGAATCCGGCATCCACTTCACACGCCCTGTCGGATGCGAAGGCATCTCCACCACGACACCCTCAATGACGAGGGTTGAGCCCAAGTTCTGCAGCACTTGCTGGAAAATGCGGGAGGCATAAACCATCAACACTGACTACGCTTGTGACTTCTTCGCGCCAGCGTGGACGAACGAACAGATCCACTAAGCCTGGTCACAAGTCGCCCGGGAACGGAGGCCACGCACCAGAAGTCACTCCAGAGGGGATGCTTCAAAAGATGCCGCGGCGAGCCTGTTCCCGCAGGCGCGGCTGCAACATGAAAGTGTTGTCCAGAGCATGGTTCCAGGCCCCGGGCCAGGATTGGTGCATGGACAACGGGTGCGCATTGCATCTCACGCGCCAGCGGGAAGTCTTCAAACGCACGATCCTCAACGCTGGCTTCAGTGTGGACGCTGCACCTGGCATGTCTCCCAAAGTTGGAGCTGGTGCGACTTGTCACCCTCCCAGCTTACCTCCTCAGCTGTGCGGCCCAGGCACGCCTCAGGTGGCACCCACGTCGGCAGCTTCGAAGGCGCCTGCCGCCGTCTCGTCTGGCAGGGCGCCGCTGAGAGGACGACCACTGGGCAGGGCGGCGTCGACTCGCGCGCGAACGGAGGCTGGCCCACCACTGCGGCAAGCGGTCCCGAGCTGCCCTGTAGACATCCGCGAGGCGCCTGGCGGGAGGCACCCCGAGCCTGAAACGCTCCGACCAGCCGATCGCCACGAGGCGGATCGAACTGCCATCGAGCAGGGCCTGCAAGAGCCCGGCCGGGGGACAGTCGCGCTGCATGGGTCTGGCCTGCACCCGCCGCCGTGGTGTCGCACTGGCCGTGCGGATTGTTGCCGCAGGCCGAGGCGGTGCCGTCGCTCCCGAGAAGGACGGTGTGCGACCATCTGGCGGCCACTTACGCGCATAAGCTTGGCCAGCGCCTGTCGCTGGGAAGTCGCACTGCCCACACGCATGATTGCCGCAAGCCGGCGGAAGGCGGCGGTTGCCAAGGCGAGACGTCAACACTCTCAGGGCCACGGGATTCCCGAGCCAGCCACTCGTCTGGGCACCCGAGGTCCAGGCCTCTGGCTGGCGACCAGCGGGGGGGGCAGGGCCGGGGATGCGGCCTGCCGAAGAGGTCCCCCGCCTCCGGAGAAGTTGCAGGGAGCACGGTGCCTCGAGGAGGCGGTCCCTTCTGAGAAGCCACTCTCAGGCAACCACATGTGAACCAAGCCCCTGCAGGCCAGACTTCTGAGAAACTGGCGGGGGCCCAGACCCCGACGTCGCTTTTTTCTTCCACGCCGTCGACCCCCAACCGTCTGGACCCCTTGCCCAGGGACCAATTTTTCATTCCGAGTCGTCCTTTGCTCCCAGGCCCGGCAAGGGCCCCCGGAGGCCGAGAAGAGCGAAAAGCCTCCCGCCGTGATTTGTGTCTCGCTGCGCGAGGCGGCCTGCGGGGGCAGAGTGTGAGAAGGGCGTCTGCAGCCAAGTGAGCCCCAGTGGGGGCGCTCGATGCCACCGATCTCGCTGTTATCGTTGTCCTCGTTGGTATCGCTGTTATCGTTGTGTTATCCCTGTGACCGTTGGTATCGCTGTCGTTGTTATCGTTGTTATCCTTGCTACCGTTGTGATCGCTGTTCGCGCTGTGATCCTTGCTATCGTTGTGATCGTGGCCCGCGTCGATACCCGACCCGCCGGGTCCGGCTCGCGGGGGGCTGCCTCCCCCCGGGGGGCCGTCCAACCCTCGCCCTGCCCCCATCGTCGCCGCAGGCAGCCGCCGTCCAATGTCGTTTCTTCCTGGCATCTGGGCCCCATGGGCCTCCCGACCCCAGCCCTGACCAGCCTCGACCCCAGCCCTCCTCCTCCTCCTCCTCCTCCTCCTCCTCCTCCTCCTCCTCCTCCTCCTCCTCCTCCCCATCCCCAATGCTGGCATTCCAACAGGCGACGACAAACTAGGGAGGCGCCCTCAGAATTATTTGCTCCAAACCGACCACGCAGGGGCCTTCTTCCCGGACGCACACCATACCATCATATGGCCACGCGACGCACAGAAACGCACGGGTTCTTACACAGAGGATCCGTGAGACTGGCATCGAGATTGGCATCGCAATAGGGAGATGTTCCAGGCGGGTGAATCCCAGGGGCCAGCGGTTTGCGGATGGTCCTGGAGCCCGAAGACTGGTGCCTGGAGACCAAAACGTAGGACAGCTGCTGTCTGTATGTGTTTCGTGGCGCCAAAAGTCGGGCCTGCGATACCGCGACAAACCCCCAGACAACTAACGTCGTGACACTTTTCAATCTGCGAGCCCCGGAGATCCAGACCCCACTCCGCGGGAATAGCTTTCGTCCCCGATCCAATTCTGATTGCCCCAGGAATCGAAAACGGCCCCTGGAGAACGAAATACGAAACACAAATCCTGGCGAAGGACCCAACGACGTGCAAGCGCGAGGCAGATGGGACGAAGATGTGGTCATGAAACGTGTGAGGGGTGTGTCGACACGGGTGGGGAGAAGCCATGCGGGCGCTGCCACTGGGGCATTCGCTGGGGCTCCCTGTTGAGTCACGATACGTGAAGGGTGTGTCGAAATGGGCGGAGTGACGCCATGCGGGCGCTGCCGCTGGGACCTTCGGTGGGCCCAAATGCGTCAAACTGAAGCGTCTGGTCCGCAATCCATACACGGTTGGGGGTTGGGCCGAAAGCCAATAGAGAGGGCAACAACAACTTGATTGAAATTACTATGCTTTGGGCGACCACCACCAGGAAACTGCTGTGAATGCTGTTGGATTCAGTCGCGTGCGACTGTACAGATTAATGCGTGGCATAGGAACTTACGCATGGTCGTTGCACATGGTGTGTACGCTTGATATGCACCCAAATCGAGTGTCATGTGAGGACGTCGTTAAAGATATATAAATATATACATGTACGCGTTAGGCGTGTATGGTGATGTGATCCTAACGTATACCATGCGTATGCAATTGCTGATTGTTCGAGTGTGTACATGGTTGGCGTATGTTGCTGGCGCATACGCTTGTCATACTGATGCTGAATAGGTGTCGCTGATGTGTGCTGCGAGCGCCTGCCAATCATGGACATGAACCATGCAACCGATGGGTGTATGTGACTGGTGTACGCTAGTGTTCTAGGGTACTGGTATATGAAAGTGCTGCATCTACTTCCAGTATGTCGTGATGTGTGGTGCTGGCGTGCGTTGCTGAAGTATTGCGACTTGCGGTCAACAACTGAAGAATGCAACTGGGGTGGCATGTGACTGATACTTGTGTGTTCACGCATGATGTGTGTTTGACGAGTGCGTTGTGTAGCCGTGTTGCAAGCTCATGGCGTGGATTGTTGGTGTGCTCCGGTGGTGATACTAGTGTTGTCTGCGATTGCTCTTATGATGTTGGCCAGGGCGCGCGCCGTTGCTTGATATGAATACAATTTGACATGTTCTCTTGATTTCTGATCTTAGTTGTAGATCATGGTGTGTAGTAGCGGTGCCAGTTATTGATCTCATAGTGGTGAGTGATCGTTGCGACATGTTTTGCATTGATTGACACACAACATGGGAGCATACGAATAGTGTGCTTTAGTGGTGCATGTAAAAACCACGTGCGGTACGCATGCTCATGGCGTATGCTCCTGATGTGTATGCATGATGAAGAATGCTGCTGCACAGCACGCACGAACGCTCATGATGCACGCTATGACGTCGTGGGTAGTTGGTCCCAGGTAGTGTTCTATGTGCGTGGTGCATGCGACTGACGAATGCCACTAATGTGTGGGCTGCTGCATGTTATTGGCGTACGCCCTTGGTGCACGCTACTGGCATATTATAATGGTGAATGCTAACGGCCATGACAACGGACAATTGTTTGCAAATGGTCCGCGCTAATGGTGACGATTGGTGAACGATTTATGTACCGAGTGATGCGCCTGTGTGATATCTCGCTGATGCATGGTATTGAAATGTGTACCATCGGTCGAAGAAATGGGTGGAAACATGAAGTAGGAAGGCGTTGGAAGTAGATTGGGTCCCCACCCGCCCTCCGAAGAGGAGGGAAGAGGGAGCACCACTCGACTCTTACAGGAGGAAGGCGTTTTAAGTAGATTGGGCCTTGGGCGTCCCAAAATATCCACTCACAACCACCGACGTCTTATTTGCGACACGCTGTACATGTTTGCGGACGGCGCAGCGTCCTGATACCTTGAAGTCGGTCGTGTCCCCATACAAAGGATTTTGGGCAAAAAAAAAAATACTCAAAATATACCCCCCATGGGCAAAAATAGTCAAACAATCGTCCCCTGGCTATTTTTTCTATTTTTGAAAATTCCTCCTGTAAAGGGACAGGCCCGACTTACTAATACCTGTCATACGCATCGTTTGTACCACCGTTTCGGTATAGGAGGCTCGGCGGGGCGGGGGACTCGGGCGGCCTGGCGGACATGGCATGCAGGGCTGGCGGGCGGGCTTCACTGCAAGTCACACAATCCCAACCCGCCGGGTGGGGAAAACGACACTAGGCTTAAGTCGGGCGTGTCCCTCTACAGGGGGATTTTCGACGAAAAATAAAACATATTCAAAAAATGTTCCAAAACTGACAAAAAATACTTTTAAAAATAGTCCCCAGACGATTGTTTGACTATTTTTGAATGTTCCCCCTGCAGAGGGACAGGCCCGACGCAACAATAGGCCGGGGTCTCTACGTCTCGGCCGCGACCCCATGGATGCCTGGCGGCCCTGCGAGGACGCCCCACGTCAGAGCGTGCCCGTGGGACCGCGCATCCACGGCATCGTGCCCGGGTGCCCAGGCGCGGGCAAGAGCACGGCGTCGGAGGCCAGAGCACAGGGGGGGCAGGCGAGGGGAGTGCAGCCTTCCAGGAGGCAGGGGCCCTGGTCGGGAGGGACCGGCCCCTCGAGGTGGTGTGCACCTGGCCGTGGGCGTCCGAAGCCGACGGCGGCCACGGCTTGGCAGGCGACGTGGGTCCCGCACGGGCGCCCGTGGCAGCACCCACAGGCGAGTCCTGCTCAGAGTGGCGAAGAACTGCTCTCGGTCCTCGCTCCCCTTCTGGGAAACCCTGCACCCAAAAACGTTGTTCATCTATTGGAGGCGCATCTTTGACTTCCGCCGCCTTCCGCTAGCCTTCCGCTGGCTTCCGCCGGCGGAGGCGGCCTCGTTTTGCCTCCGCCGCCCTGTCCGCCGCCTTCCGCCGAGGAAGAGATGGCAGCTCCTTCGACTCCCGAAGGCAAGGTCCTTTTTGAAGGACAAGTTGGCATGAACCAAGAGAGGCCTGAGGGGGGAACGGGTCCTGGGCCCTGGGGCCTTCACCCAGGACCAGCGTTGAGCTCCCCGAGACATGTTTCGACGTTTCGGGGCCCAGAGAGGGCTTCGGGGAGGGCCCCGGGAGGCTGAAAGCAACAAAAAGGCGTCCAGAAGCCGTGCCCTCCGGTACCAAGCGGAGGAGGCAAGTGTGGGTGGGATGCACACACTCTCACAAACAGGTCTCTCAAGGGGCCCAGGGACACAGAAGTAAATACACACAAATAACCGGATGCCCCATATTTTCAATATTTCTTCGGTTTTCGTGTTCCCCCCACTTCCCATATTTTCCCATATTTTCCTGGGAGTCGACGGTTACTTTTGTCTGTATGCTTCTTTCCCTCCTGAGTCTCGGGGACCTCTGGCCCAGCCAGGAGGCCGTGGGCGTCGCTATCCCCAACAGGTGGAGCTGGAATCGGCAATCCATCGCCGATGGATCGCTGTTTGCCCCCCGAAAGCGAAGCCGCACTTTCCTGGGCGGGGGTCGTC